TCGCAAAAAAAGAAAAAAAAAAAAAGTGGCCTAACTGTTTTGTTGGAATTCCCATCTTCTCATTATACTGGTTTAAATTTGATACATCTAAATATGAATCCCATGTCCAAAGCGGATAGACAGCATATGTTTTTTGGATTGAAACGGTTCGAGCAGAACAGAAAAACACCCATAGAGCTGACATAATTTATGACATTCAGGGCTCAGTCAGATGCTTTGTCTCTTTTCTCTCTCTTTTTCCCTGAGCCATGTTACTTGAGTAGAGGCTTGATTTTTAGCAAGAAGTCACCTGTGTGTGTGTGTGTGTGTGTTTTGTTTGGTGGTGGTGGTGGTGGTGGGGTAATCACACACAGTCATTTATTACATATAGTCTCCCAATTCACACTTTGGTTGTTTGGGTCAAAGTTGTGACTGGGAGCCTTCCAAAACCTAATTCCCAGCTGTGTTATATGAACAAAAACCTACAGATGTGCCCCTGATTTACATTTTTTTTGTAAGAAGCCCCAACAGTATGAGAAAAAGCCTTATGGTGGAAAAGCAAAGAAGCAGCTAATGTGCTGGAGATGCCTGAGAATTACAACACATTCTTTACAGAAAGCTGTCAAACAAGCAGAAGCAAGACAGATCAACATAAGATCACAGAGGTTTGACTCATAAGATCTAATATCCTGAAGCTTTGGTCAGTGCGGTGGGACCGACTGTCAGATGAGAAGCCAAAGTTTGCATCAGAGAAATGTTCGTCTGTGGTGGGAAAGTGTGCTTTTTTCTATATCTAATGTGTCCAGCACACACACACACACAAACACATGGTTTCCTTTCAATGGCCGTCCACGATCAAGTGTTTTGTTTGCCGTGGAGATTGCAGAAAGACGGAAAACACATTTTTCACAACGTCGTGTGTGTCTGCATGATTTATGAATATTTATTCCAAATTGACATGTTTATTCCTCTCTTTGACAATATCGACTCAAGCCAGTTAAGCCAATACCGCTTACTGTGCACATTCTCATACAGAGTGGGCGATTATTATGTTTTTTTTCTGGGGCAAAAACGTACATTTTGAATGAATCTCTACCCTGCCGATCATAGCAATGCACAGTTTCATTGAGAGAAAATAAAAGTGTGTAAAGAAAGAGTCAGCTGTCGTGTCAGTGTACTGACAGTACATCAGCTCGGTCAAAAGGTTGCTTAACTTCTACATACTGTTTTCAGTTTACTGGATGTTTTCATTATGTAATGCATGTCAAAGTTTATTTGAACAGCATGGGGAATATATTGAGTAGAAGCAGCGAAAACTTGACAACGCTTTGCAGAAGTCACAGGTGCACCCCAGAATGCGTACTGTTCTCTCCTGTCTTGCAGAATCTCTCCAGGCATCAGCAGCTCTGTGTATCTGCGTAGCATTACTCCTCCATCTGTAAACATACCGCTGAGAGAACAGAAAAAAATTAATGCATGAATTATTGTTTATGCAGCTTCAATACAAACAGCTGAACGTTCCCTCACAAACCTTCACGGGACTCTTTAGCTCGTTTTTCATTTTCATACCACAGCTCGACGCAGGCCTTGATTGGACTTCAAGTCAAACAATTAATTGCACATTTTACTAGGATAGAACATCAAATTTTTACAGCTTATTGAGCATCACAAGTTCAACGATTTGCATTCTACTTCAAATAAAGGATCTCTGAAGTCTTGCAGGAGCAAAAAAACCCCCCAAAAAACAGTTTGTGAGCAAAAAAATAAAAAAAAGTCCAATCTCTTTATCTTGATAACAGATATTTTCATTACTGATTACACAACTTAAGCAACCACATGTCTACGTGCATCATTTGTTCTGTGGAAAGTTTAATGAGTTCTGTCACACAGTCTGTCACAGTCCCGATACCAACAGTTTCAACTGAATTATAGAGAACATTGTTCAATTAGCATATCTAATTGCTTTACTCACATCTGTCGCGTTAAACATCCAAACTGTTGCAAGTGCATGAAAAAAACCGTTATCTTTATTTTCAGATTTGATACAATGTTATCAAGTTTAAAAAAAAGAACAGTATATTTTGACTCATAATATGAGCATAATATCGAAACAGTCCATCAAAAAACAATCCGAGAAAGCACTTTCAGAAAGTACCTCGACGGAGGCCGCGGAATTTTTCTTTTGACACAAAGTGCAGATAGAAGAAGAAATAGGGGAATAATAAAGAAGGTTGTTTCTGTGATTTTTATAGAACGACAAAAATGATGGTTTAGCACCTCTTTGATTAAGCAGCAACAATAAAAGAACACAAAGGCATTAAAAATGTGCCAATATGCTGCTGTAAAATAGAAAAATCACTTTGTCTTTCAAGTAAATGCAGTGTTCTTTAAAAAACAGCAAAAGATATTAAAAGATGCGTTATCTTAATTCAAAATTTGATAAAGTAGGATTCTGTAATTGCACCATTGTATTTAATCTAAGCAGTCAAAATGAATAAATGGTCAAGTTTTTTAAAGAATGACTTTTTAAATTACACTCTTTAACTTTAGATGCTATCACAACACTGATAAAAGCACAAAACTGGCAGACTGACAGTCTATTCTTCTATGATGAGTGATTACACAAACCAGCCACTCTAGACATTAACGTCGTCTTATTTTGCTTCTTCTCTCCAACAAGTTTCCTGCTAAAAAAAATCCGCTCGGCACTGTTTGCGTAATCCTGCCGAGAGACAGACAAATAAATGAACAAGCCGTGCATCGCGTGTTCCGTTGTGTCAAAAAAACACAGATCAAATCTAGTTTTGCGTAAGTAGATCACTATCGTCCTGTGAGGTCAGCGATACATGAGCTAAAGTGAGACCAAGCGTGTGTTTGGGAACAGGATTTGAGACATCTTCCCACCATAGAGGCTAAGCTATCGGCTTAAAACTAAGTTGTGCTGTTGTTTTTTGTGTGTGGACAGGCAGCGCTTCTGTTTGGTGCTCCACAGTGCTGAGCCAAAAGTCACGAAGTAAACCATAATCCTGCGATAAAGATCACATAAGTAACGAATAATTATTGTAAATACACACCTACACATCCGCATGAACGGTATGCAGCGTCTTTGCAAGTTATTACCGTTAGAGTTCTTTGAATTGGGATTCGTTATTGTTTTTTTCTATAAGCAATGAAATAATGTTGTGTTACAGTCAGCAGGGACAAAATGTGGTTATTGAACTCAATAAAACAAACATAAAATGACAAAGAGAATGGAGATAAGCCCCGTAAGGCCGTGTGTCTAAACTCAACTTGTCAGCCACAGACATGAGTCAGCTACTATCGGGATGACTGCTGGATGCAGTCAGTGTCACATCAGCTCGGCTCTCGGCTGTAAACTCTTGCTCCCATATGTGATTTCAGTTAAACCCACAGTTTGATCTATTGTGACCGTTCTCGGAATGTCTGTTTCTCTGTCTGTTGGTTTTTATTGTTGTCATTTTCCTTTCTTCTTAATAAACATGTAATTTGCACTTTGATTGATGGCGGCTATTACATTCCCTCTCTCCTAGTCGCTGTGTCCGATGGCTAAACCAGCCAGTCCTCTCAGCCCCGTGGTCCTCATAAAAGTGACGGGCTAACGGTAAAGGCCCTGTTCTACCAGGCAAGTTCCTCTCTGCATTTCCTCCTGTAATTCCCATTACTGCCCTGGACTCCAGAGCTCACATCCCCCCCAAAAAAACCCCAGTTCGCTCATTTCCCACTCATCCTCCCACCATCTTCTCTTTAAGTCCTTCTCTGACACATTAAAGGTAATTTAAAACAATTAAAATAAAGTTCAAAGCTAAGATATAAGAAGGACACACTTGAGGTGATGCAGCAGACATATCACTACAGGCTTGTGAAAAAAAGAGAGAACTTATATATAGTACACATAGGTTCTATTTACATGTTTAATTCCCAGTCAGAGCAAAAAGCCCACATTCCCATTTCATCTATCACTGGAAGCTAAAATACAGCCATATATTCAGTGCAGCAGTCACTACCTCACAAATGTATTTTCCTGTATATTTGCCAAAGTGAAACAAATGGGTCCCGCAAGCTATAAACAGACATTATGAATCGCGTTTGATTTATGTCGCACATACATTTTTCTAATAAAGAAATTATTCAAGTTTGGCTCCCAGGCTTAAGAGAAAAAGACTGAAATGTTCTCTTTTTTTGCGATAATGCTGGTTTATATATAAAACAAGGCAGGACACCAACTGATCCCCTTTTCTTTTTGTCCCACAGAATCCTAACGACTTCTTCATTCCTCTGGTAGCTCAGGGGTTTCATTTCACTTCGAGTTCCAAGAACCACACTTTCAAACAAATCCTATTTTTATGCACTGTCTTATGACGTGATAACATCAGACTAATGCTACTTTTGGGGCTGTGTGACAGACTCAGAGGCTCCTCGGAGAAAGCCGTGGCTTTGAACATAGAATGTCAATAGTGATCTTCGAAGCTGTGAGTGATGCCGAAGAGGCATCGGTGGAGATATTATGACCAATTATATCACATCTGACGATGCTGCTCTGATTTATGCTCAAGCTTTGCGCCCTGTGTGCAATTACAAGTTAACCTGCGGCCACGTGCGTACTTAAGAGGTGGTTTTTCATGTGATGTAAATGAATGGAAATGGGAATCCAGGTCAAATTATTTGTGATACAAAGAGTGTTCAGGGAAAAGCATTACTTAACTAAGAAAAGTCATGACTTCATTTGAAAAAAAATGAGCAAAACACAATAACAAACATGTTTGTTTGTTTCATGGCTTCTCATTCATACCACAATGTTAAACTACTTATGTCTAGTTATTCACTTAACTACACTATATACTATATTATTGTATGAAAATGTTATTTTTGTCCTATAAGGATTTGATCAGTCTATGGACATAAAGTTACCCTCCCTGTGATTGGGTTTCAAAGCCACATGATTTGCATATGCAAACTACACAAACACTTCCTTCTGATTCAAGTACAAGGAAGTATTTAAAGTGTGAAGCTGTCAGTGATGCGAGCCACCGTTCTTCAGTAGCTCTGCTGGACTCTGATCTCACCATGTTCATCAACTGTAAGCTGTCAGTGCTGATGCTTGTGCTGATTCTTGGTGGTCAAGGTAAGCTAAGAAGCATTTTACAGGGTGTATATATACACTTTCTAATCCAGGTCATAGTAGAAGATACTTTACACAACTGTACATGTATGAGATACTGCATTTGTCATATGGAGATGTATACATGTTTGTATGTATGTATGTATATATATATACATGTATTTCTTTTTTTTTTTTGACAGTATATGCAGGAAAAATCTTTGGTGGCAATGAAGTTGTGCCACACAGCCGGCCATACATGGTGCTGTTGAGGAAAGTAATGTCAGATGGTAGTATAGGCCACTGTGGAGGATTTCTTCTGAGTGAGGACTTTGTGATGACTGCAGCCCACTGCCAAGCCAAGTTAGTTTAACATTTTATGTTTTACCTACAGACAAGGATGTTACCAAATATTCTGGGTCCCCTAATAGACGTTCTCATTCCAACTGCACCCTGGGGTCATTCATTGGAACTTTAATTTAAAATTCATGAAAAAAAGAGTTTTTTTGGCAACTATGCTACAGACATTTAGTCTTCTAATACTTTTGTCGTATTTTTGCATTTAATTTCAGGTCTTACACAGTCTTACTGGGAGTTCACAATGTGAACAACAAGAATGAAAAAATACAGCAAATAGCTGTGGAACAAGCATTTCCACATAAAGATTACAATAATTCTTCATACATTAATGATGTAATGCTTCTTAAGGTAAGAACATACAGAGAAGATAATGACTGTTTTTCTGTTTCAACATTTTGTTTCTCATTGCAAATTATACATCAGATATCTTCATCTATAGTAGGCCTGAAATACTGCATCTGTTACAACTAAACATGAAATGCTTTAGACAAGAGGTACATGTGTGTGGAAGAAGTGCTTCTTTCAGATTTGTATTTGTGGTATTATTATATTCTTCTTTCTTCCTCAAGATGAGCTCCAAGGCTACTTTCAATGACAACGTGAAGACCATCACTCTTGCATCTGGTGATCAGGGTGCCCTTCCAAAATCATGCAGAATCTCTGGCTGGGGACGAAAAGACAGGAACATTGATAACATGTCTTCCAAACTCAGGGAAGTCGGTGTGACACTGATTAACGATGAGAAATGTACGAAGGGAAACATGTACTGCTCTGAGGGAGAGAACGGACCAGGGGAGGTATGTGCATTTTTGAAGTGTAACACGTGCAACCAAACTTTGGTCAATAATGATGATTGTTTTACTGTTTACTTAAACCACATACTGTGAATTTCAGGGAGACTCTGGTGGTCCTCTGGTCTGCGAAGACAATAAGGCCTATGGGGTGATATCCGCCACCTTCAGACCATCTAATGGTGGCCCTGATGTGTATAGGTACGCCAAGATTCCTGACTACAGACGCTGGATTGGTTCAACTACTAGAAATGCTCTGATGAAGGTCAAACGCATGTGACACCTGGATTTTACTGTTTGCATTACAGAAGTAAAAACTGAGATGCTAATACCCACTTCTTCTATATTAATAAGACTGTGGACATAAGTCTTGCTTTAGACAGAATTAACCAAATCACACTTAACTGAAATAATACAAACACAATTTTTGTTTTCAGAAATTGAGGCAAAATTTGCTCTTTCTTGTGTGAATGTTTTCTCTACTGCTGCAGGGGTTACAACCTGGCAACTACTTTTTTGATTGTAAACTTCTAAATATTATAAATTTCTACAGTGAATCCACAAGCAGGTTCTTTGAGGCTGTGCTGTAACAAGTGTGGTTTAAAATCTGAAACATAAGTTGATTCATTGCTGTTTAAAAGCTGCAACACCCGCCGATATGAGATACTGTATGCCATTCTGCTGAAACATAAACTCCAATAAAGAGAATATTGCTTTGTGCATTTTTTTAGGAGACATCTGATACAAACACAGAATCCTCTACGTTTGTTTTGCACCATATCGTCAAAGAATAAACTGTGTGTATTCTCTCAGCAAGCGTGTACACTTCTCTTCTAGGCCATGACTTAAGGCAACAACAAGACAACACTGCCTCCTTGTGAGGAATGTGAACTGATGCATCAAGAAGAATTTGAGCCTTCAGTTTTATTTCTGAGCTTTAAATCTAATCAAGCTGATGGCTAGCGTGTGACATCACTTTTCAGTTACACAGGTGCATTTTGTTTCTATTTTCGACAGTGTTTAGGTATCAAATAAAGTGATCTTCATTTCTTACCACTGAGAAGTTAGCTGAGGTGATTGGAGCTCATTTCAAATGTCCTTTGACTGCTTTGAATATATTCCTAATATGAGGAAATGTGTTACAGTGCAGAGAATATATGACCTCATCCATGTTGCTGAAAGCTAATTTTACTCTAAAAAAAAAACATCATATGGACAAGTTGACATGGTAAAATAACATGTTTTTTGGAGAGGGCCTTAAAAAACACTTTCTAAGCTTGTCGAGATGCAGTTGAATGTTTCCAACATGGACTGTACACATATCTGCTTGCATAATCAGAGGCATGTGAAATCCCAAATATATAAGATCACATTAATTCTTTGCTTTCATTGGGCAGCAGTTTGACCCAAACTGACACAGAAACGATCGTCTGTACGTCACATACAAAGCCATATACTACGAACAAACCGGCTTCACATCCTAAACTGGCATCGTTACTTTTTCCAAATGTGGTGAAAGATAAGAGTAAAGGGCCTTCTTCAAATGGCACCACTTCTATTTTCTAAGAGCTGTGAGAAGTTTTGTGTTTGATCACCTTCCATATATCCGTATATTTACAGCTGCTTCAGATCTGCTGGTTATAATTTTAAATTACAAATTGCACTTGCTGGTCAGGATAGAAGCTATTGGGTTGATATAAGCCAAATATTTCCCAGGGAATCATATATGTCCTCTTGACCGTCCTTTAAGTGTGAGTTAAGAGCAATAGGGTCACAGTGGGACACTTTATGAGGCGCTGAGTGTCTTTCCAGTCTTCATGCTCAGCCTCATTTCATCACATCCATTGATGGTCGGCAATCCTCTTTTACTCCTTTATTCCAAACTCTAACCAATTCATCAACACCTTGCTTGCCTTTCAAATAGGCTCATCTGTGTAGAAAGTGAAAGAAATGGGATCCAAATCCTCCTGTGTGCATAAAGTCTAGGCNCTATGCTACAGATATTTAGTCTTCTAATATTTTGTCGTATTTTTGCATTTAATTTCAGGTCTTACACAGTCTTACTGGGAGTTCAAAATGTGAACAACACAAATGAAAAAATACAGCAAATAGCTGTGGAACAAGCATTTCCACATAAAGATTACAATCATTCTTCATACGTTAATGATGTAATGCTTCTTAAGGTAAGAACATACAGAGAAGATAATGACTGTTTTCCTGTTTCAACATTTTGTTTCTCATTGCAAATTATACATCAGATATCTTCATCTATAGTAGGCCTGAAATACTGCATCTGTTACAACTAAACATGAAATGCTTTAGACAAGAGGTACATGTGTGTGGAAGAAGTGCTTCTTTCAGATTTGTATTTGTGGTATTATTATATTCTTCTTTCTTCCTCAAGATGAGCTCCAGTGCTACTTTCAATGAGAATGTGAAGCCCATCACTCTTGCATCTGGTGATCAGGGCGCCCTTCCAAAATCATGCAGAGTCTTGGGCTGGGGACGAAAAGACAGGAACATCGACAACATGTCTTCCAAACTCAGAGAAATTGGTGTGACACTGATTAACGATGAGAAATGTACGAAGGGAAACATGTACTGCTCTGAGGGAGAGAACGGACCAGGGCAGGTATGTGCATTTTTGAAATGGAACACGTGCAAACAAACTTTGGTCAATAATGATGATTGTTTTACTGTTTACCTAAATCACATACTGTGAATTTCAGGGAGATGCTGGTTGCCCACTGGTCTGCGAAGACAATAAGGTCTATGGGGTGATATCCGCCACCTACAGACCATCTAGTGGTGGCCCTGATGTGTATAGGTACGCCAAGATTACTGAGGACAGACATTGGATCATTTCAACTATTAAAAATGCCCTGATGACGGTCAAATGCCTGTGACACCTGGATTTTACTGTTTGCATTACAGAAATAAAAACTGAGATGCTAATACCCACTTCTTCTATATTAATAAGACTGTGGACACAAGTCTTGCTTTAGACAGAATAAACCAAATCACACTTAACTCTGATGCTTAGAAATAATACAAACACAGTTTTTGTTTTCACAAATTGAGGCAAAATATGTGAATTTGATTTGGTTATTTTCAGTTTGCTCTTTCTTGTGCTATTGTTTTCTCTCCTGCTGCAGGGGTTACAACCTGGCAACTACTTTTTTGACTGTAAACTTCTACATATTATGAATTCTACAGTGAATCCACAAGCAGGTTCTTTGAGGCTGTGCTGTAACAAGTGTGGTTTAAAATCTGAAACATAAGTTGATTCATTGCTGTTTAAAAGCTGTAATACCTGCCAATATGAGATACTGTATGCCATTCTGCTGAAACATAAACTCCAATAAAGAGAATATTGCTTTGTGCATTTTTTTTTAGAAGACATCTGATACAAACACAGAATCCTCTACGTTTGTTTTGCACCATATCGTCAAAGAATAAACTGTGTGTATTCTCTCAGCAAGCNTAGAAAGTGAAAGAAATGGGATCCAAATCCTCCTGTGTGCATAAAGTCTAGGCTGTAAGCATTTGGACATTTTTTTTGTCATGTCTTTTCGCCCTCACAGTCATTTTGAAAAACGACAAAAGTCTCACTGTTAGATTGAGTAGATTGTGCAAGGTGCTGCCCTTTTAACACATAATGCAGGGGTTCAAAAGTGACTGAACACATGGATGCTAAGTGTGTTTTTGTTGTTTGTTTTTTTTTGCCAGTTTTGTCATTTCAGTGTTGGTTTGACCTCAGAGGAGTTTACCCGAGGATCTGAGTTGTAGGCCGAGGGGGACTCGTCTGACAATATTTGTATATTATGAAAAGAGGACAGTAATGAGAAAAAGAAAATGAACAGGACAGCTATTTATGGATGATTTCACCATTGATGGAAGCAAATCATTGACATTCATCCATTATCTATACACCGCTTAATCCTCACCAGGGTTGTGGGGGGGATGGAGCCTATCCCAGCTGACTTAGGGTGAAGGCAGGGGACACCCTGGACAGGTCACCAGTCTATCACAGGGCTACACTTAGACTTAAGGCAACAGCAAGACAACACTGCCTCCTTGTGAGGAATGTGAACTGATGCATCAAGAAGAATTTGAGCCTTCAGTTTTATTTCTGAGCTTTAAATCTAATCAAGCTGATGGCTAGCGTGTGACATCACTTTTCAGTTACACAGGTGCATTTTGTTTCTATTTTCGACAGTGTTTAGGTATCAAATAAAGTGATCTTCATTTCTTGCCACTGAGAAGTTAGCTGAGGTGATTGGAGCTCATTTCAAATGTCCTTTGACTGCTTTGAATATATTCCTAATATGAGGAAATGTGTTACAGTGCAGAGAATATATGACCTCATCCATGTTGCTGAAAGCTAATTTTACTCTAAAAAAAAAACATCATATGGACAAGTTGACATGGTAAAATAACATGTTTTTTGGAGAGGGCCTTAAAAAACACTTTCTAAGCTTGTCGAGATGCAGTTGAATGTTTCCAACATGGACTGTACACATATCTGCTTGCATAATCAGAGGCATGTGAAATCCCAAATATATAAGATCACATTAATTCTTTGCTTTCATTGGGCAGCAGTTTGACCCAAACTGACACAGAAACGATCGTCTGTACGTCACATACAAAGCCATATACTACGAACAAACCGGCTTCACATCCTAAACTGGCATCGTTACTTTTTCCAAATGTGGTGAAAGATAAGAGAAAAGGGCCTTCTTCAAATGGCACCACTTCTATTTTCTAAGAGCTGTGAGAAGTTTTGTGTTTGATCACCTTCCATATATTCGTATATTTACAACTGCTGCAGATCTGCTGGTTATAATTTTAAATTACAAATTGCACTTGCTGGTCAGGATAGAAGCTATCGGGTTGATATAAGCCACATATTTCCCAGGGAATCATATATGTCCTCTTGACCGTCCTTTAAGTGTGAGTTAAGAGCAATAGGGTCACAGTGGGACACTTTATGAGGCACTGAGTGTCTTTCCAGTCTTCATGCTCAGCCTCATTTCATCACATCCATTGATGGTCGGCAATCCTCTTTTACTCCTTTATTCCAAACTCTAACCAATTCATCAACACCTTGCTTGCCTTTCAAATAGGCTCATCTGTGTAGAAAGTGAAAGAAATGGGATCCAAATCCTCCTGTGTGCATAAAGTCTAGGCCGTAAGTATTTGGACATTTTTTTTGTCATGTTTTTTCGTCCTCACAGTCATTTTGGCTTCTTAATAACTGTGCAACAAATGTTGAATACTCTCCAGGATGTCGGTATATGTGTTACCTTGTCAGTGTTTAAAACCTCAGAGGATTCACCACGAGATGTAAACTCCGGATAGGCAATGTTCTATTAAGCACTAAACAGTGCGAACCAACTGCGCCACCCTGCGGCCCAATTCAGTGTTGGTTTGACCTCAGAGGAGTTTACCCAAGGATCTGAGTTGTAGGCCGACAATGCACTAAAACAACAACCAAGCTCTATCAATATTATGAAAAGAGGACAGTACTGAGAAAAAGAAAATGAACAGCACAGCTATTTATTGATGATTTTACCATTGATGGAAGCAACAGAATGAATGCAGGAGCAGCCTGTGTAGTAAATTCCTCAAAATGCATCAAAGGTCACTGGACATAAGGTCATTTTTCAGGAGGACAACATTTCCTCAACAATCAGCCAGCATTTCAGGAAGAAAGGGAGGAATAGCAAAGACTGAAAGACTCATTCATCTGACCTCAATCTACTTTTCTTGAATTACACTTGTGGAGGACCAGACGGAATTCATACCTGTCAGGAGTTGAGTTTCCAATGACTCCTAGAACTCAAAATGCTCTATGATGGAATGATTGAAACACATGCCACCTTGCCACAATATCAATTATGCATTTTGTTTTTTTCATACATTTGCTATAGGTCTTCTTGAAATATGACTAAATCTATTGGGTCAAAAATATACCAATAGCAACTTGAATTTGCTGAAAGAGAACCCGAAGAGAACCCATGCCGTACGGGGGGAACATGCAAACTCCATGCAGAAAGATCCCGGGTGTCCCCACTGGGACGCAAACCAGTGACCTTCTTGGTGGGAGGCAACGGTACTGACCACTGAGCCACCTTGCAGCCCCAAATCATTGACATCACAAGGAAAATCACTTTCAAAGCAGCTACAGATCCCATAATCATCTAACAGTTGTTTGCCATTGATTGCCATTCTTGTGAATGATTACAATTGCCTACAGCTGCTGAATCCTCTGAACTCATTTAAACGGGGCTCATTTGACACACTTTTTAGACTCTGCCACAAACGCTACAGTCTAAGTCTGCTGTAGGTTTAAGGGGCTGAAACAGATCTGAAAAAGCAAATCACTGATTTGAACAAGTCAGGAAAGTCAATTGGAGTAATTTCAAAGCAGCTGCAGATGTAATAATTATCTGTACAAACAACTGTTTGTTAGTGTAAAGTCTCACTGCCATAATGAAACAGAAAATGTAAACTGTTACCTGCTGCTGAGAGACAACTGGTCAGGAACGTCTAGAGTCAACCAAGAATCACCATAAAGCAGGTCTGCAATGAATTAGAAGTTACTGGAACACAGCTGTCAGGGTCTACATTCAAGTGTGTTTTACATCATCATGAGCTGATAGGCTGCTGTGCAAAAGGAAGCCCTTCCTCTAGAAGCAGCACCTTAAGGCTCGACTGAAGTTTGCTGCTAATCACATGAACAAAGAAAAGGCCGTCTGGAGAAAATGTTTGTGATCAGATGACACAAAAAGTCAGCTATTTGGCCACAATGACCAGAAATATGTCAAGTTACAGTGCAGTCAAAATGTATGACCTTGAGTTTGGCCTTGAAACAACATCCAAGGTCAAATGTAACATCACCAACAGAAAGCCCCAACGTGATGGCTTATCTCCACCAAATACCATGAATCTACCTTCCACCCATTTGGAGGTATATGGCGTTTTTTGAAAACGTGACCTTTGACCTTTAGCGGAGCGATCTTTGCACTGATTGATCCCAAAATCTAATCATTCCGAGGAGAGGCCACTCCTAGCTCACCAGTAAAATATCAACTTATTAGACCTTCACAGTGGAGCTATAGCTTCATTGCTCTAGCTGGCCATCATCAGGGCCAACTATACTAATAAATCTATGAAAGAACCGACATGCATTACTACTTTGTTGTGAAAAAAAATCATAGAAAATTAAGAGTCATAGGAGTCACTGGAAACTCAAGACTGCCATCATGTGCATGGTCTTTACAACTGTACATAAACTGTATATCCAGCCTAAAAGCCTAAAGGAGTACAATTGTCACTGAGTAATTAGCTGAACAGAGTTTTCGCTTCAGGTACTTTAGCTTAAACTTAAAATAGACAAAGTATGAGAACAGACATCTACAAAAGGTGACAAATGAGAGGAAACATGACATTGATGTACCAGAGTGGTTAAATATATGTCTGGCTCATGGCTTTGTCCATTTTGATTCAAACTAAAATTCTAAGAGTTATGCAATGTGCCCTGGGCAG